CGGCCATGCACCCCCATCGCCGGCCCCGCATCCCGCTCCAGATCGAACGGCTTGACGGCTGCTGGCTTCAGGCAGGAGTCATGCCGAGCGGTTGGCTAAGCTCTCAATGTGATTATTTTATACTAAAATTCTTCCTAGTTCCAGGGGAACGACGCAAATCTCAGTTGATCCCATTTCAATATGAGTCCCAGCCTCTAAAGAACAAACCCCTCCACCTGCTGGGCAAGAATACAGGGAATAATTCGGCAACGATTTCTTTAAAAGCTGTGCCTTCCACCTGGCGTTGAGGTTCAACTTTAAAAAAAAAAAAAAAAGTTCAGTAACAAACGCCACAGTCTTGGAAGACACCAGGCTGCATACAGAAAGTAATCTCTATTTCCCTCCTTCCACAAAACCCAGTCTTTGATCTGAGATGATGAGCGGGGTTTGCTGTGTGTCTAACCCCCACAGGGTGAAGATCATCACACACAGGATGGGTACACGCTGCTTTCGCTATTTAAGAAAGCCTAAAAGATACTAAAGAATACACAATAGTGCCTTTAACTGTAGTGATGGACCCACGAGGTGACATACCACAGGGGACTGGGAGGTACATCAAACCCCCGCCAGACAGATGCTCCTCACCCAGAGTAAGCATCGAGATTTTACAGGCTCAGACCCTCTTTGTAACCTGTGTCAGGGTTTGCCTCTGCACCTTACACGGAACTGAGGACGGACAGCAAAGAACAGTGTCCTTCTGCTCCTTCAAACTGCAGTGCAAGTACGGGGGAACCTCTCTGTTAGATCTCCTTGTGAACTGGGGCGATCTGGGACTTCGCACATTACCATTTCATTTTCAGCGATACAATCGGTCAGAGATGCAAAGTACCTGTTTTGTTCTCTGCTCTGGGGCAGATCAGATGCACAACGCATTTGTCTCCACCACCTGTAGGGAAGGAACCCTCATGCTTCCTACAGCATCGCCCCAACCCACTGTTTGGCGGTTTCCCATCAGGCAATACAACCCACGCGAACAACTGACAAAACCCACCACCTCCATAATCACCCCTACAAAACCCATTTTCAGTCAGAAAAAGCAGCTGCAGAAGGTGTCAAGAACTGAGCTCACACAACCCCCCCTCTCCCAGTGCTAGATGGAGCTCCCAGCCCTCCCAGTGTCCGCCTACCTTCTGCAGGAGGGTCCGCAACCACCGGTGGAATCCAGCCCAGCCCTTTACCATCGATGGCTCCGCAGATACTCCCTTCCTGCGCCTCAGGCTCAATAATTCTATGTCAAATCCCACATCTAACCTTGCCCCACGGACTGTCCCAGCCACCCGGGCACTCCCATGCCCGCTCTCGGCTCTGCACATCCCCGTCTTGGTCCTCGAGGCGTAAGGAGCCGTACGGCTCTGAACCTTCAGGCTGAGGGCACAAACTCCAGACCTCCACCTGCCTGGGCAAGCCCAACCCTTAGGAGGCCCCATCACCACCTTCTCAGATGCGTTTCAGCATGGAGCGGCTTCACCTGGGTTCTGCCAGGAGCCCACGGAGCGCTCCCAGAGGGGGCAGCACTGCCTGGCCTGGGGCCCCCAGCCAGCTGTTGAACAGCTGTTGAACAGCTCAGGTTCCCAGCCCCCGCTCTCACATCCAGAGTTTGGGGAGACAGGGCCGGGTCCAGCTCTTGTTCTTGTTTGATAATGACCATTCGTCATCCTATTATCTCCTGTGTGTTGGTACACTGTCAAATATTCAGCCAAATTTGGGTTGGTATTACAACAAATACATAAATACATTCCGGTTCTCTCCCCCTTTGAAGGTAGGTACAAGGTTTGCTCTTCAGTCGCCCGAGACATGACGCCATCCCTCAGCTTAAAAAGAGCTTCAGCCAATACCCCCACTACTCAACCAGACATTTTCTCGGAATGTTGTTTCACGTACTCTTTTCTTTAGCCCATGACCCTTGTCTTTTACTACACTAAATGTCCCTAAAGCTGGTTACAATCAACCTTTTCTGGTGAAGACTAAGCAAAAGCACATTTGCTGTTCCAACCACTATTTCTTCTACCTCATTAAACAATGGATATCAGCTTTTCTTTCCTGGCCTTTACTTTTAAAATGCAAAAACAATTATTGGGGTTTGAACTAAAATTCCTTTAGCGTCCTAGGTTTCTTGATTTTCCCTCTACCCATGCATGACATCATCCTGCACCTCATGCCCTCGTCTTCTTTTCCGCGCAGCTCCTGTATTTCAGAGCTGTGGATGATCACCTATGAGGCTGTTGCCCACTTTGGGGTAGTTTCTGTTTGGTCACCTACATGTAGATTTTCCACCCACCATCTTTCCTGCCTGAGCTTTTCCAGCTTAAGAGTTGCTGCCTCTCCATCTGTCCAGACCGCTCAGAGCCACACAGCCTCAGCTGAAGATGGGAGATATCTTTGGTGGTCCGAGGGTTCTCTGAAGATGGACATCAGGACCTGTGATCCTTTCCATGGAATGGACCACACTTACCTTTAGCAGATGACCAGGCGGTATCAATCCAGAAGGAACATACTAAATTTACTAAGTCAAAAACTGTTTATGTCCGAACAAGAGTCAAAACCTATTTTGCTTGTAGACATGCTTTCCCTCACTCTGGTTAAAACCATCTTCGCTGTGTTTCACCACCTGAAGTCAAAAACCTTCCAGGAGCATTCACCCTCCCCCAGGGAACCCTGTTTGGATACATCCCTTCACGCTACTCTAGGCACTGCATAAAAACCTCAGAAATTCAGTCAGAAGACTTCTAAACATGACTAAGTAAAAAAAAAATCACCTATTCAGGCCTGTGCGTAACCGCATTCCGGGTGCTCAAAGAACTTGGAAAAAAGTAACGGTAAGAAACGCCACGTGCAGAGTAAGCTAAATTCACAGGAGACCGAAAAATCATCAGTAATGATGCTATAGCGCCCTGAAAAGAGAGGAGAGTTTCACTGAGCATTAAGGCAGGCACTGGCTACAGCTTTTTCAGCGCAAGGTTATATAAAAATACAAGATTTTGCCCCTTTTTATAGAGCTGGTCCATAAGGAAACTTCTAAAATTTTACTTCAGTGCAAGTTTACTAATTATGCTGAACCTTGATAACAAAGCATACTTAACACATTCCAACTCAAGAATCCCATTTCACTGAGCCCTAAATCTTCCGTACTTCTCTGTTTCTCACAGAGAAGGGTGCAAACCAAATCTTTTCCATGGCCTTATCACCAACTCTGTTTCTCACAGAGAAGGGTGCAAAACAAAATCTTCTTTTCCATGGCCTCATCACCACAAGCACAGACTACGCGAAGGGAGAGTCTGAGGCTGCTTTACATTCCCGCGCATCCGGTGTTCGCTGTGGTGAGACCGGTTCCCTGGACCAGACCCAGGAGATGCTGGATGAGCACCTTTAACGACCAGTAGGGACGTGCGCTTTTTGATTCTGGGAAGTAAAAACACGAGTGGCTTAATTAGAAAGCCTGCTTTACCTCGCGCAGAGAACACCCAAAATCCACCAAGAACACGGTGACATTACAAACTACTCGCAGGGAAATCCAGTACCAATTCTGCTTTGTTCTTATTCTAAGCATCAGGAGTACAGGATGCTCCGTCTCTAACCCAGTATTTAAAATGGGATCGTCACCCCCACTGAAAAGCAAGGTGAATTATTATTTTACTATTTCTGTACTGCTAAATTCCCCAGTAACAGCACCTATAAACAATGACACTTTTTGAACAAAATACTCTCTGCAAGCAGGAAGCCCCAAAATGCTGCTTTAATTTATAGTACTTTCAAACAGAACTCTTCTGGGGCAAATCCCACAGCCGACCAGTCGGGGGCTTTCACTACTGAATTCAATCCTTACCGGGATGTTATGCCCTGAAGCGTCCCTTACCACGCTGGCTTTCGGACACTCGAGCAACACCCAGCACTGCTGCTTTTTTTTTTTTTTTTAAATTATGCCCGTCTTAAAATTGTCAAGCTAATTAAATTTGCATTTTCTAGATTTCCTGCCATTGTTCAAAGCAGAAGCCTGCCTTTTTAGTGGGCTTTCTTCTTCTGCCAAACTCTTCTGTTGAATGCCACATTTAACGGCAGGGTGAGTTCTGTATCATGTGGGACCCACCGTATGAAGGGATGAGTAATAAAGCTTCCAAAACACGAACATCTCAGTGATCAGCATCGTTGAGAGAAAACACAGATTACAGGGCATCTTAAAACACATGTAGATGTTTGCTGGCGAAATGGAACAATGTTGAAATGTAACAGCTTACTACACAACGTCATTTTAACACAGTCAGTACCGGCTGTTAGGAGCGGCTGTATTTTTGGGGCAACATAAAAATAAGCCCACTCGGCACGTGAAGGAAGTGCCCCCCTTGGCAGTACCTCCCCACACTGCATCAGTTCCAAAGATCTAAAGTCACAGAATCATAGAATGGTTTAGGTTGGAAAGGACCTTGAAGATCATCTCATTCCAACCCCCCTGCCATGGGCAGGGACACCTCCCACTAGACCAGGTTGCCCAAGGCCACCTCCCACTAGACCAGGTTGCCCAAGGCCACATCCAGCCTGGCCTTGAACACCTCCAGGGATGTCCTACCAGTCCGACCAAGCTTTTCGGAACCAAACCCGTTGATCCATTCTTTTTCCCTGCATGTTAGCTACCAGCAAGCTCTCACAGGTAGCTTTTTTCTATGACTACTCTTTTCTCTGATGATGTTGGGCTGTCGCTGGAAATCTAATCACATTGGATAGTTTACTGAAAACTTTTTTATTGTAATCAAAAAGTGACATAACAGGGCTGTAATGTATTCTGCAAATCATTCTGCTGATATTTTATAACTGATACCAGCTTCTTCTGCCAGGCAATTAAAAAAAAATTCAAATGTGAAAATTTTCACAGTACAGTAAACTCCACCCGAACTAATTAATGGTGGTTAAAAATAAGATGCCCCAGCAAAACCTTTCATGTTACATGGTCACAACTCACAATTCTGTACAAAATGTTCACTTTTATAAAGCTCTGATGTAAAAATCAAATAATCAAGCAGCAATATTTTAAGTGCAGCACAGGGTCTTTCATGTCATTATTTACAACGCTTGAATTCGTTTACATTTTAACAAAATTTAATACAGATGACTTAGGAATTAAGTCATTTTTTATTATCTGTCGTTCTATGTAGTGACAGATTTCACTTTTTGGTCATCTTTCTCTTTATCTTTGCTCTTCTTCGATTTTTTCTTCTTGTGTTTGTGTTTTTGGCTCTTTTCCAATTCCGTTTCGTTTCCAACGTGTTTCTTATGCTTCTTGTGTTTCTTATGCTTCTTGTGCTTCTTCTTCTCTTTTTTCTTCTTCTTTTTCTTGCTGTCTTGACTCTCTCCTGAGCTGGCACTGCTGCTGTGGCTTCGAGTCTGACTCTCAGAAGGGCTTTGACTCCGGCTGCGGCTAACACTGGGACTGCTTTGACTTTGACTTCTGCTTGCTTCAGGCTGGTCAACTGCAGGAGGTGCTGCCGTATCCTCTTTAACCTTATCAACAGCCTTTTCTTTCGGTTCTTTAGGATTTTTTCCTGCAGCTTCCTCATCTTTTGCAGATACATTACTCTCACTGTCACTTTCATTGTAGTCTGGTACAAACGCAGCCTCATCAGTCTCTCGAGTCAGATCCGAAGAGAGCCGTGAGGAGCTGCTTACCTGAGGCTTGGGCTTGACAACACTTTTATCGTTTTGTCCAGTCACGTTCTCTTTCTCATTTTTCACATCTGGTGATTCTTGTTTCAAAGGTGGTTTATTAACACCTGGGTCTTTCTCCTTCTCTTTCTCTTTATTGCTCTTTATTTCTGGTACGTGCTTCTCTTTCTCTTTTCCTGAATTTTTATCTAGAGGTTTGTGTTCCTCCAATGTACGCTTAGAATCGTGAGCAGCTTTGTGATCAGACTGCTTCCGCTCACGCGGAGGGCTGTAGCTGCTCCTTTTGGCATCTCCAGCGCCCTTTTTGGACGGCTCTGCTCGTTCGTCTCTTGGCTTACTTTTCTGTACAGATGTAGATTCTCTGTTTCGAGAAGGGGAGTCTTTTCTCCTTGCTAATTCACTCTTTTCATCTCTACGCTTGGAACTAGAATGATCTCTGTTGCCATCATGGTCAGACTTTTTGTCTCGGTTAGGAGTGAAGTCTTTAGCACTGGATCCACGGCCAGTGTCATGTTTCTCTGAAGACCTGCTGTCTTTGGAAGATTGAGAAATATTTTTTCCATTTCCTTGCTCAGCTACACGTTCCAAGTGGTCTTTTTCTGGCTGAACACTGCTCTTTCTCTTCTCAGAAGTGTCCTTGTCTGACAAAGAATGATCCCGGTCTTTGGTTTTTCCTTTTTCATTCGACACTGAACTTTTTGAACTTTTTGCATCATGCTGGGAGCTTTCATACATCGCCTCTTTTGTAGTTTTCTGTGTTTTCTCCAAAGGCTCCATCTCTTTTTCATTGTGTTTTACAGGGTTTGGGGGCTTAGCACTCACATTTTTTATAACACTAGCAGGTTTTCCTAAGTTTGTGGGCACCTGGGTAGATTTAATGTCTTCCTCTTCAGACTCAAAGTCATCTTTATCCCACTTTGACTGAGGGACTTGGATCATAATGATGACGTCTTCCGCAGGGGCTGTTATATCATTATTATACTCCTCCATGGTCTTAATAACAGTTCGTTTTGTATCTGGCTTTTCTTCAGTCTTTCTAACGGGGCTTCCTCCAGTAGAACTAGTGCTAAGAAGAAAAAAAGGTGTTCATTAATAACGGGTGAGATACACACACGGCCATCTTTTGTAACATTTTATAAAATGGCTTTTGTTTCAATTCTAAATTTTCAGCATTTTTTCAAAAGACGTTCAATTAAGGAAACAAGACAAGAGAAAAAGGATGAGTCCACTAGCTAAGATTACGAGCAATCAATTAATTTGGTACCTTGCTACCATACATTTAATTAACAAAGACACAAGATTATCAGATTGGGGACTGTCTGATCTGGTAATTCCTTCATGTCCTATTTCTACCAATGGCAGATAAATTAGATATACATTCTTGTTTCAACATGTAAGCAAGCAGTTATGGAGAGGTATACACAACCAAAGTTTTATCCTCATGTCCCAGTGTTGTTCTTTAGAAACACACACATTTTAAAAACTTTTTAGAATATGAAGACACTATCTTAAGTCTCCAGTGATGTTTTGAGTTTGCTTTGTCCTGTTTCTTTAGACACTAAAATGTAAGCAGTAACAGCTCCACACTAGATCACTTCCCCCTTCGCCCCCCTCCCCCCCATGTCCCACAATGGAATACAGAAGAGAGATCTCCAAGGTAAGTGCCAAAAAAGTTGGCACTGAGCTGGAAGCAGCGTGGCTGTGTCAACACGGCACTGTGCTGAAAGCTAGAATCAGTACAAGGTATTGGTAACCAAGCTGCTATTTCTGCAAGGTATAATTTCATGTCATACCGACAAAAGTTGCTCATTACAGCACCATGCAATTTTTAAAATGTAAAATATTGCGTGGTATAGACATGTCTGTTATCCTTGCCTTTAGCGGTAAGCTGGATTTGAAGGGAGACATAAAGGGGACTCCTCAAAGAGTCAGCATGTAATGAATAAGAGGGGAAAAAAGCTGCCAGAAGTAAGGGTCAAAAGCACCACCAATGAATTAACCTTATTAGACTTCTGTGTAGTAGACTGCTTGTTTTCTTTAACAAAATTTGATTTTGACCCAAGTACATTTTAACAGGAAAGATCACAGACTATTCACTCATTTAGCACAGATTTAGCTGTTCCTTTCATC